TTTCCTGGAGATTGAAAGAAATGAAGGAATCTGTCACTTAATCCACAAGTTTGCTGAACTCCCAATTGTGATCAAGTGCTGTTGGGTGACAACCTCCCTCTTGGCAGCGTGCACTATTGGCCCCTAGGACATGTCACACTGGACACTGATTTGAGACTGCATGGTTGACAGGTCTGGTTTTTCTTTCCTTTCTGTCCTTGCAGGCTGGATTACCAGAAACCAGCCAGGTACTTGGAATACCTTTCTCTCTGCCCTGCCCCACTTCTTTTATTTCTTGCCTGTGTGATTAACTGACCCAACTGTCTTGTCACCAAGACCAGCTCTGCACTGGGGTAACTTCACTGACTTCAAAGAAGCTACTCCTAACTCAGACCAGAGCCAAGGAAGATGGGGTCCTTCGCTCTGCCTTCCAGAGCATGCTCAGATCACATTTACTACATCATCTGATGCTATACAACATTTGCCCTCACAGTGCAAATGTTCAACCATCACAATACTTCATAAGATGTTTCAATGGGTAATCACTCTCACTGTTAAAAATCAGCACCTTATTCCTTTGCTGAACTTGTTTAACTTTCTGTCATTGGACATCATTATATTTTGTCTACTGGAATGACGAGCCCTCTAACATCAGATTACTTTTCCCTATGCAGATAGTTATAGACTATTTCGGTTAACTTTCTCTAGGTTAAACTAAATCAACTGAGCTCCTTGTATTTTTCATCATGAAGTATGTTTTCCAATCCTGTTCTCATTCTTCTGGCTCTTCCTTAAAACTTCTCCAATGTTTCTAACATCTTTTTGGAATTGGGGAGCCCAGGACTGTTCCTGCAGTGGTCTCTCCAGTGCCAAATAGAGGATGACAGAACAGCAGCAGCAAAAAAAGTCTTCTTTGAGTGCTACTGATTGCCCAGCTACTCAATGCGTCTGTAGGACTAGAGGTCACCCTGGTTTGGAGAGCCTTACTTCCTAACTCCCTGGAGTCAGAAGCTGTGAAGTCAGTCAACTGACTGGCTACATACTGGAGTTCTTATCTTATCCCAATAAAGACTTGGAACAGATTACTGTACTTGAATGGTCTTGTTTGAATGGAAGGGTTTTATGGTGACGGGAGCAAGCTGTCTCCAGATCCATTATGCGTGGTTATTTAAAATGACGGAAGACTTATTTCTAGGAAGATGTCATTTACAATCCTCAGCTGCAACCTTTCATTTGTGTTCCCTGCTAAAAGAGCAGCTCATCG